TTTACTAAGGGCTCCCTGGGCCCAGGATTTGGTGAGTGCTGCTGCCGGAGGGGCTGTAGCACTTGGTGGCGAACTGAAGGGGCAGGGGCCCCTCCCCGAGCCATCTTCCTCCGGGCCTTTTCAGCTGTCCTGGAGCCAGTTGTGGTGCACAGCCAAAGGTCTTTGGTTTTTGTATTTTTTTTTCAAATGTGCCCAAGGGGGCCAAGCAGCCAGGGGCAGTCCCGCCTGGCTTTCCCAAGAGCCCCAACTCATGGCAAGTCGCAGTAGTTGCGTGAGCCTCTGACTCCTGCCAGTTGCCGGCTGGGGGAGAGGGAGGGGGGGCGGCCTCACCCCCACGTATTAGTTCAAGGCGGGTGGGGTGGGTGGCTTTTGCCGTCGACCCCATGCACTCCGCTCTGCCCTGCCCTTCTGCCGGGGAGGCTCTGAAGCTGGCCAGGGCACACCTGAGGTGCAGCTTGTTACTCTGGCTGCTTTTGGGTTCACTTCTGTTGCATTTCTGTGTTCTTCCTCAAACCCTTCCCATGACTCCCATATATCCCCAGTAAAAACATTAGCTCCAAGTAGCCAGGGAGCCAAATGAATCGCCTCTGCCCAAACCTTTTGAGGTATGGGATCTGACAAATCCAATCCCCTGCTTTTAAGCATATCTCTCAGCGCTTTAAGCTCTGGGTCTTCAAACTTAAAAATTGCGTTACCCACTTTTTAGGGTCTTGCTTACCCTGAACCTCCTCGATTGGCCCCAATCCTTTTTTTCTTCTTCTTACTTCTTTCTTCTTTTCACCTTCCTTCAAGCGCAGCATTGAGTGCCAGATGCTGGGGGTTCGAACCCACGACCCCCGGCGAGGTGAGGATTGGGGATGAGTAAGCATGCTGTTTGCCAGCCCACAACGTCCCCATTACCCGGGGACACTTGGACGCAACGGGGGGGGGGCTAGTCAAGCTGGGACTCATTTATTGCAAGTGTTCCAAAGCTTTATAAAGGCACCTGGAACTACCCCCCCACCCCCGAGGGTGTATCTTAAGGGACTTTCAAAGCAAGCCAGGCTGCGCTCCCAGTAACTTCCTTTTGGACCTATGCAAGGTGGGGCTTTTAGGTCCCCACACCACATGATACAAACTTAGGTAATTTTAAGTCATATAACCATGTGGATATTTCTGTCTCATTCTACAGCGTTTGCTGAGATATGCCCATGGAGTGAAAACAACCTATGTGTTGTAGGTTGCATGCTGCTGTATAGTAGTTTCCTCTGAATTGAAACTTTCCCTCCAGGAGGGAAGGGGAGGTTTACGAGTCTCAGGAGGTGATCAAAGTTCATATGTGTTGGAAAGCTGAAACTTGCAAGGTTCATGAGGGCATCCCCAGCTTAACAGGAGCAAACACCTGCTGGGGCTGACCAACCAAGCTGCTGAGAGAGCTATTGGGCCTGTTGAATTTCGTGCTCTTTTGGCTCTTTTTAGAGCCAGCCTAGAGAATGCAAAGGAACTAAACAATGGATTTTCCATGTTCTGAAAAAATAATTAACTTACTGAGATCTGGCTTCCCACTGCACTTAGGAAAAAATTCACCTATGTCCATAACCTCCCAGGCCTGATATGATTTGATCCCTGCAAACCCTGGCTTCATGTCTAACTACAAATCCAATGAGCTGGCTTTCTTTCAGGTCCTTGGAGCATCTACACTGCTTGTTTGTTATTTCAAGGTCATTGCCTTGTTTCCCTGGGCTGAATCTTTCCATATATTTGAAGAGAATTCAATTTACCTGTCTCCTCCCAAGCCATCCCTCACTTCCAGCCCATCTGTCACATTACCCATTTCCTTCACAGCTTCGATCACTACCTGAAATTCTTCGTTCCTTTGATTTTTCACCCCCATCTCCTTCCAGATTGTAAGCTCCACATCCTGGATCTTCTGCGCTTTACTTGTGACTCTTTCCTTACCTGACACCTTGGAAACAATGAACGAGAGTCAAACACAATAGAATCACCTAGGAAAAAAGTCAAGGAAACTGGGCAAAAAGAAATGAGACCAGAGAAGAAAATTAGGGAGAAGGAAAACCATGAGCTAGGCCCAAGGAGTGATAATTGGTAGGCACACTCTTAGAACTTTCTACTTTGCTGTCATGGGCTTGTTTTCAGTGTGTTGAGGGGGTGGGTCCCTGTGTGCTTCTGCCAGCAGAAAGCTGGGACTTCTCTTTTGGTCTACAGGTGCTGCTGTATGTTCTTGGTGTTGTAATGAGAATCACCTACAAACACATGCCCAGCTTGTTTAGTGCCTCCAGGCCAAGAGGCAGTACAGAGAGGGAAGTAATGATCTGCACACTGTACCAAGTTTCTATCAGTGAGGACTGAGATGGTCTGGTGGCCCCTATTTATCTTTATACCAAACCAGTGTGAGTTCTGGCATTCAGTGGCCTGTGACCATGGTTGCTTGTACAGTAAGCAGCCTGTACTTGTGAATGTCTACCTTTGAATTCCATAAATGTGTATATGTGTGTGCATATGGTTGCGGTGATGGGGATGCTATTTACCACATCAGAGAAGTCCATCACTAAAAAAAGAATGATAGGCTAAGCATGGTGGTATATGCCTACAATGCTAGGACTCTGGGGACAGAAGCAAGAGGGTCATGAGTTTAAGGACAGCCTGACTACATGTCATGGCCGTGTCTCAAAAGACAAAGCCAAACAAACAACAATAAAAACGAAACAGAAAAGAGGATAGAAGTCTTCTCAGGAAGGCTCAGCAGAATGAGTGCTTTTATTTCCAGTGGCATGTTGGTGTAGATACATTCAGGGTCTTCTTTAGTCTGACTTAATTTAAACTCTGAAATGTGAGAGAGGTTGCTGGAGACATCCACCCTCCTGATAACCTGTGCATCAGGGGATGAATATATCAGTTCTCCTACAGGACTTGCTCAGGACTTAAGTGAGCCTTCAGCATTGGTGTGAAGCTGTTACCTGCCTGTTCAGCTATCCATCCATGCTTAACATCTCCAGGTCTTAATCCTTAAATTCTGGCTTGGTGTTTGTGAAAAGATATCAAGATGGGAAACTTTAAAAGGAAACCATGATGTGGCATCAGAACAAACTGGATAGCAGCTTAAATTCTAATATAATTATCCATCCTCATAAAGAGGATTGCTGGTTGTGATGGTTTAAACAAGAATGCCCCCCATAGGCTCCAAGTATTTGGACATTTTTGTCCCCATTTGGTGGCACTGTTTTGGGAGGCTTTAGGGGGTATGGTCATGCCAGAGGAAGCACATCACCAGGGACAGGATTTGAGAGTTCTTAAGCCTTGCCAGATTTCCAGTCACTTTCTGCTTCCCATGACTGCTTGAAGATGTGAGTGCTTAGCTTTCTGCTCCTGTCCCAGTCACCTCCTGCCACCATGCCTCCCAGCCATGACAAACTCTTAAACCCTCTGGAACCTGAAACTAAACTCAAACTCTTCTCTCTGTACGTTCCTTGGTCATGGTGTTATGTTACAGCAACAGAAAAGTAACTAATACATTGATCACTAGTTTAATAAATATTATCCAAGGACATTAATTTGTAAGGTTTGAGAAAAGAAGTTTTTAGATAGTAGTTTTGTAATAAGTTCAACAGGCATCTCAGTTAATTTACAAAACTGGAGGTGAGGCTACATAAAAGCTGAGGCACCCATCCTTAGAAGCTACAGTGAAAAGTAGGACTATTTCTAGCAGTGCTTGGTCTCAATCTGCTAATATGCAGGTGTCTACTCTATGACCTGTGTCTCCTTTAAATAGGATCATTAATATTGTCACTCAAAATGTACTAATTGGGTCAGGGAGAGTGCTCAGTTGACACAGTGCTTGTCACACAAGCATAAGGGCCTGAGTTTGCACTCACGCATCCACATAAGCCAAGTGTGGCAGCCTACACCTCTAATCCCAGTGCTGTGGAAGCAGAGACAAGAGGATGTCTGGGGCTTGCTGGCTGGACAGTCTAGCCAAGCTGGTGAGCTTCATGTTCAGAGAGACCCTGTCTCAAGAAATAAGGTGAAGAATAATTGAGAAAGACACCCAATGTCAGCCTCTGGCCTCCACACAAATGTGTACACATAAGAACACAAATATAAACACACAAAAGATAAAAATCACACAAACACACACACATACACACACACACACACACAGAGAGAGAGAGAGGGAGAGAGAGAGAGAGAGAGAGAGAGAGAGGTATGCAGTCCACAGAGAGAGAGAGAGAGAGAGAGAGAGAGAGAGAGAGAGAGGTGGCCTGTGTTTATTATGAAAGAAGAAAGATCATCTCTCAAATGTCCTTTGTGGGCTAAACATTTGCTGGGTGTTTTATTCTGAAGTAGCACTTTACAGGTGAAGAAATGAGAGACCCAGCCATGTTAAATGATTTGCCTAAGGCAACAACATGAGGGCTTGGAAGAAAGCTGAAGCAAAAGTTTGAAGTTGCAGCTGGAGAGATAGTTCACACAATAAAATGTTTGTTCGTAATTCCGAAGACATGAGTTCAATCCCTAGAACCCAAATATAAAAAGCTAGGCATGGTGGCATGTACTTGTAATCCTAGCACTGGGGAGACAGAAACAAAGATGGGGCTCACTGGCCATCCAGCCCCACCTCCCTAGCAAGCTCCAGGGCAGTGAAGGACATTGTCCCCACCAAAAGGTAGACAGTGCTGGCATAGGAGAAAAGGCATGGAATGTGAAGTCAGAAGAAAAAGAAATAAGGGTGAGCCATCAGCCAGCAAAGTTCAGGAGAAGGACATGCTACTAACACAGAGCTCACTGCTCTGTATCTGAAATGCCTACCTGCCCAAGAATCCCAATATGACAGAAAGGTTTGGCATGGAACATACACAACTGATAGGAAGTTCTGCAGATCCTGCTGTGACTTAAAGTTGTCCCTAACAACATCAGCTCTGAGTGCACTACAGATGAATAGGAAAGAAGATGAGGTATCACAGAAGAGCCAGACCACCTGCTCCAAGATACCAGGCACAGCACAGCTTTTATACTTTTATTACACCAGGTTAAGGAAAACAAATAGATTATGTCAACAAGGTTCTGCCTCTTTGGGTATATATTCTAAATACACATCCATTCTCATCTCATGAGAAAGAAATCCATTCAAAAGCATCTCACTGTTCACCAAATTCTACCCTTGAAACCGAACACAAAATCTTAAACCACTGTGCACAAGATTTTTGGCAGTTACAAGCTCTATCACAAGGCAGAGCTTACAAACAATGGGAGGATATAAGTGGTATTACATGCACCCTCATTGGGTAGACAGACTGCATGAGGCAGTGTGGCTGTGTGGAGGGAGAGAAGTCCAGACCAGTGGCAAACTGCTGCTCCTGCTGGGGGAATTTCCAGCCAAGGCTCCTATGTGCGATTCCTCAGCTGTCCCAGCGCCTTTTATACCTAGCAACATTAAACAATATTTGCAAGCAAACATGTCTAAATAAAGAGTTCAGTATGTGATTCTCCAGGAGGTGGCCAATGACAGAAAGGTGTTACTTGGCAACCCTAGAGTAGCCTGGGATGAAAGTTGTACCGGAGGCTGGAGAAGAGCCCAATGTGTTTCACTAGGTTGGGCTCCACCACATAGGCCCGCTCCCCCTTGGCTCTTAGCAGTGAGTACAGTGCCATGTCCTTGCCGAAGCCTTTGTGGCAGTACACTTGGGACAGGTAGGTGAGGGTCCGGCGGGCTGAAGGGGCAGGAAACAGCATGGCTGGGGTACAACACTGAGAGGCAGGAACCACACTATACAAGGAAGGACTCAGGCGCCGCAGTTCCAGGAAATAATGCCGACCCACCAGCTCCACCAACCCCATGCTATACAGAGAGAAGAAGAGCATGACAGGCCAGCTAAAGCCTGGACGGCAGGCAAACCTCATGTATATCCAGGTTAGCACAGGCCCCAGCAACATGCCCACACCAATCCACTCCAGGATCCTCATGGGCTCTGGATTGATGTAGTGCTGCAGCCTCTCGGGGTGATAGAGCTTTAGATACAGGGCATCCTGCAGATGCGGCTCAGAGAAGCGGGCCCTCAGAAGGTGCTCCAGCACGGGGAAGATCTGCTCTTCTGGAATGGCATCATCTTCCACCATGAGGACATAGTCTGGGTTGTAGGTCTGCAGTGATGATTCCAGGCAATAGACATAGTCTTGCTTCTCTTTCTCAAATGAGTTGGTCGAAGGATCATCACCGTAATCATCCTCAGTGCCCTCATAGCGGTTAGCCACAGGGACATATTTGGAGAGCAGCTTTGCATCCAAATGGCTCACGCTCCGTTCCACGTTGCACAGGAAGAGCTGGTGCCCCTCACACTGGGGGCCACATTGCTGCAGAAGCCGGTGAAACTGGGACACCACCTGCAAGACATAGTGGAAGCCAGGCTGCCTGTCCACAGTGATGATGGTGATCACCAGCCAGGGGCGAGGGGTGGCCTGCCAGACGATAGGCACCGAGCCGTTGGCAGAGGGCAGCTCCTCAAAGTAGTGCAGGGCAGCTTCCCCCTCCTTCAGACTGTGCTGCAGGAACTCTTGGCTCATCTGATTTAGATGCCAATGGCGCAGATAGAAGTAGGAGTGAAGGAGCCGGTGACAGGCCAGGGGGGCCAGAAGACCAAATGTCACCACAGTTAGGATGAAGAGCTGGACAGCAGTGCTGCTCCAGGACAGTCGCCGCAGCCTCCGGAGAAGCATGGCAGCTGGGGAGGTTGGCGTACTCATGAGGTCAACTTTTGGTCATGTCTTGTCCCAAGAACAAACCATTGTGGAAGTCAGGCCAAAATCATGTAAGTCAAACCTGAAGAGAGAAAGCAGAAACAGAAAACAGAGCTTTAAAATGTTTCCGACAATGAAGCCAAGCAGCACATATCACATCAGAAATTGTAGTTCAAGGCTGTGAACTGCTAGAGACTTGAAAGAATTTTCTGCAATGAATTATTCTTTGGTTGTATCTCTCAGTGAACTCTGGTATGCTCTTATTACCTCTATGAACAGGAATATCTCAGTGCATTCAACCAAGCCGCCATGCTTAAAGATTCATTGTTAGCTTTACTCCATGCCAGAAAGTCACCTGTAGTTAGTAAAGTCACTAGCTACATAGACATGGGTGCTAACATTGACATACAAAAACCAAAGCTCAGCAAAGAAGAAACACACAGTTGGGGCAAGCTCAGCCTAAGTGCACAGTGCTTGTTGACTGTGTGATTTCTGCATATCCCAAAGGAGAAAAGAACTACTTAGGATTCCCTGCTGTTTAATGTCATCTTTTGATTTCTCTAATCTCAGTTAATCTAACCATTTAATCTTGATTCACTCCTATATTACTTTTTAAATTTATTATTATTTATTTTATTTTTTATGTTTATGAGTGTTCTGCCTACAGGTATGTAAGTCCACCGTGTCATACAAAGCCCACAGAGGCCAGAAGAGGCATCAGAACTGGAGTTATGGATGGTTGTTAGCTGCCATGTGAGTGCTGGAAATCAAACCTGAGTCCTCTGCAAGAGCAGTCAGCGCTCTTAACCACTGAGCCATCTCTCCAGCCTCCTAGCCTCTTTTTTAAACTATTATTTTTCTTTTTTTATTTACTTATTTTATGACTATATTGCCTCCACGCATACAAGTGTACCCACGTCATGCAATGCCATGGTTAACAACTATCTGTAACTCCAGCTCCAGGGGAATTCAGGGCCCTCTTCTGTCCTCTGCAGGCACTGTATGACACAGGTGCACTTACATACATGCAGGCAATACACTTATACACATAAAATAATGAGTGTTCTGCCTACAGGTATGTAAGTCCACCGTGTCATACAAAGCCCACAGAGGCCAGAAGAGGCATCAGAACTGGAGTTATGGATGGTTGTTAGCTGCCATGTGAGTGCTGGAAATCAAACCTGAATCCTCTGGCAGAGCAGACAGTGGTCTTAACCGCTGAGCCATCTCTCCAGCCTCTTAAATTTAATTTTTTAAAAATATGTGGGGGGGGGGCTGCACATGCGTGCAGTGCCCACAAAGCCCAGTAGAGTGCAGTGGAACCTCTAGAGCCAGAGTTACAGGTGGCTGTGAACCGCCCCACGTGGGTACTAAGAACTGAACAATTTTGGGTCCTCCACAAGGGTAGTAGGTGCTCTTAACCACTGAGACAACTCTCCAGTCCATCCTATTTTATTTTTCTAGCACTATCATTGGAACCAGTTAGAGAAAGCATCTTTCTTCTGCAAACAAAACCTAGACCCCTAGACTTTGAGAGGGGAAGAAGCATGCTAACGGAAAATCCACAAGTGGCTTTTCAGTGGGGGGTGTGAGAGATGTACAGAAGGAACAGCCTGATCCAGAGAGGAATGTGGTGGGGTACGGCAGCTCAGTGCACAGGAGTGAGGTCAAGTGTTGGTGCGAATCTCAGCTCTGCTACTCAACTGGTGAGAGGTCACTTCACCTCTATATATCTTGGATTGCTTGGCCCTAAAAGGGAACTAATAACACCTGACTCATGGGATTACCATGGATATTAAACATGTTAGAGAGTAAAATTATGTAGAACAAAAATGTTACTAAAATATACACTATTGGGGCCTGGAGAGATGGCTCAGTGATTAAAAGCCTGATTGCCTTTGCAAAGGACCTAGGTTCAGTTCCCAGCATCCACAGGGCAGCTAACAACCATTTGTAACACCAGTTTCAGGGGATCTGAACCCCCTTCTGATCTCTGCTGGCTTAGCATGGAAGCGGTACACTTATACACATGCAAGCAATACACTTACACACATAAAATAATAAAATATACATATATATACATATATATACATATACATATATATATATACATACACACACACACTATGGGGCTAGGGAGATGACCTACTCTGTAGAATTCTTGTCATGCATACATGAGGATCTGAGTTTGATATCTAGAACTCACAACTTAAAAAAGCTAGGTATGGAGTCACACACTTGCAATCCCAACACTGGGGAGGGAGACCCCTGGACCACTGGCTAGACAGATTAGCCTACTGGTGGAGCTCCAGACCAGTGAGACACCCTATCTTAAAAAACAAGGTGGGGGATGAGGAGATGGTTCAGTGGGCAAAGTGCCTGCCATGCAAGTGTGAGGACTTGAGTTCAAATTCCCCAAACCCACATAAAAGCCAGGTGATGTAGCACGCACCCATAATCCCAGTACTCCAAGATGGGAGGCAGAAACAGAATTCCTGGAAGCTTGGAGCCAGCTAGCCAGTATAGGATGCTGAGAGACTCTGCCTCAAGGTAGAAGGAGAAAACCAATATCCAAGGTTGTCCTCTGACCTCCACACCATACCATGACTCCTGCACACCTGCACTTACATACATGAACATGCAAACACATAACACACATCAAAAAGAAGTAGAAGAAAAAAACCAGGTGCACAGGCCCTGAGAAACAACACTACTGAGGTTCACCTCTAGTCTCCACATGTATGTGCACACATGTATATATGTACCTTCACAAACATGCATGCCTGCATACACATGAACACACACATACATACACTGAAAAAATATATACCCAATGTTCAGAATCCAGTAATATTTTAAGAAATTGTAAGGTTCTGATGAAAAACAGATTTGCACCTAAGAATAGAATTAAAAGGACAAAGCTAGTATAAAGTCAGCAGAATCAATTCAAAGCAAAGTAATAGCTATGGCACTAAAAGTATACCTCTTAGGACTGGAGAGATGGTTCAGTGGTTAAGAGTACTGGCTGCTCTTGCAGAGGACCAGGGTTCAATTCCCAGCACCCACATGGTGGCTAACAGCCATCTGTAACTCCAGTTCCTGGGGAATCCAAAGCCCTCTTCTGACATCCATGGGCAATGCATGACCTAAGTGCACTTACATATATGGAAGCAATATGCTCATACACAAACACAAATATAAATAAATAAATAAATAAACAAACAAAATAAATAAATAAGTATACCTCTTGCTTCAGAAGCATAATAAAGCTTGTACCAATTTGAAATAAAATGGTCTAGCTCATGAATGATGAAGGAAGAGTTGTCCACATCCCACATGAGGTCACAGTGGTATACACCACCAGTGTTCCCATATCTGCATTCTCCTATTCTCCCCTTAGCAGGCACACTCAGTCCTCCTCTTAGTCTTCCTCCTCCAGGTAGGGTCGTATGACTAGGGCTTGCCAGTAAAATGTGAGTTGAATGGAATCTCTAGGAATCTAAGGGAGGGAGGAGCAACCAGAGAGCAAATGTCTGCACCCCTGAATGACTTCTGGGAACAGAGGTCCTTCTCATTGCTCACCTCTCCACTGTTACTACTTACAGTGGTTACTGTATAAACCATTGTGTCCAGCCACTGAGGATTTTAGAGCTTCTTCATTACAGTAATTAGCATGACCTTCTCTCTACAATAATGTGCTATGACACATTTCATAGGAAGGAAAGACAAGTCTGCAACAAAAGGCGATCCTAGGGAACTCAGAGATGAGAGAGATGAGTCTAATACTACAGAGAGATCTGGAGAACAGTTAAAGAGGGCAAGTTTGATAGCCTATGACCTTGCACTTGCTGGTTGGTGACATTCAGTGTACGACATATGGGTGGTTTCTCCCTCTGATCTGCTCAGGTCCATAGAGTTAGTAAATCACTGAATTGCACATCTATCTCCCCACCCAGTTCCAACACAGCTAGTAGACATTTAATACTGGAAATGGGCCAGTCTTATGCCTTTGGTGCACTGGCTCTGGAAATAAGGCAGTTGAGTGGCTCATGATATTTTCCCTGCCCTTGCTATTATTCAAGCGAGTTGGATCATCTACAGAAAGGAACTTAATACAGAGTCAACATCATAGGGCGGGCAGCTCAGAAAATGCCAGGTGCACAGGAAATGCCATCGCTCACTATAATATGGAAGGTGGGGTAGAAAGGGGAGTGCCCAGATTGGCATACAGAGGACCTTTAATCCAGGGCGATTTTCTCCACTTGAAGAAATAAAATCAGTAACATCTCACAAAAGCCTTTGCTTTAAGAACACAGCTAAAATAAATAAATAAATAATAAATCAATAAATAAACAGCTAGGAGACTGCTATTGCATTGATAACCAAGGAAGAAGAGGGATCTGATCAGCAGCACCTAGTGTGTCTGTTTGCAGTGGTCAGCTCTTACTAGGGGTGACAAACAGCCCCAAATCTTCACGACCTACAATAATGACCTAAACTCCTTGCATTCAAGTGTGTATACAGCTATGGCCCTGCTGAACTCAGGTACAAAAGGCAGGTCAGAAGCAGGTCAGTTGATGTTTTTCTCCTGGATCAAAGCACAGAGGAAACAGGTACCTGGGCTGTGTTTTTAGGTCAGGTAAAAGCTAAGGACGAGTTAAAACATGGTAATCTGCATCCTTTCTGAAGTGTGCCATAGATCAAATCCACTCACCCTACCCATTGGCCAAAGCAATGGGGCAGGGAAACTCGCTCTTCCACAAGGGAAGGGGAATGCAAAGTTGGTAGAATGGAACAGCTGCAGGCTGATTTCTAGACTTAGAGGAAATGAAAGGATCTATCAATCTGCTTGAGAAAAATCCAAAACTCTCCAGGACATAAGACCCAAGTCCCTCAATTATTGTGAACTGTAGGAGTCAGAACAGGTTTCCAAAATGATCCCCAAAGCTCAGTGGTTTATATATGGGATGACAAACATTTACATATATATCTACAAGTAATAAGCAGTGAATATTTTTTCTGAATATGCCACAGAATAAAAACAATCATATAACACACTTCTACTATGTTGCTATTAAGTTT